TAAAAATAGAACGCGTACTTTGACCTCTACATGGCCAACCAATGGCTGGACACGGATACGTTTGCGATCGTTGCCAAAAAGCCCCGCGTCCATCGCCTGGCGATGCTCTTCCGTTATGAATTCACAGTTAGCGAAGTGCTACGTTTTGAAACCAAAGCTAAGTGCTTCAAACCACTCACCAAGGTATGGATTATTGCAATATTGGATTCATCGTGAATGAAGAGAAAGCAGAACGTGTGCGCCACATGCTGCATGGTTCATCTTACGTCGTTAAGTTCCAATGAGTTTTTACGTAAAAACACAAACAAAACGTCCCTTTTCAGGGCCACCACACACTTCAAAAAGAGAACTACCGTAACAAACACACTATTTAAATAAACCAAACGTGTTCGTTTTTGACAAATAAAACTTTATTGTTGACCCCGTTCTTGGCTAAAAATCACCCTGGGCGTTTAACCGAGGATGTCCCCAACATGTAACTTTTGTGAAAACAGGGGGGTGGGCGCTTGCCCAAGGAGGGGCACGTGCCCGGGGTAATACGGTAAATGTATTCATGTTTCTAGTCCTTATGTGTATCAAAATGATATTCATGTTTCTGGTCCTTGTGTGTATCAAAATGATATTCATGTTTCTGGTCCTTGTATGTATCAAAATGATATTCATGTTTCTAGTCCTTGTGTGTATCAAAATGATATTCATGTTTCTGGTCCTTGTGTGTATCAAAATGATATTCATGTTTCTGGTCCTTGTGTGTATCAAAATGATATTCATGTTTCTGGTCCTTGTGTGTATCAAAATGATATTCATGTTTCTAGTCCTTGTGTGTATCAAAATGATATTCATGTTTCTAGTCCTTGTGTGTATGAAAATGATATTCATGTTTCTAGTCCTTGTGTGTATCAAAATGATATTCATGTTTCTAGTCCGTGTGTGTATCAAAATGATATTCATGTTTCTGGTCCTTGTGTGTATCAAAATGATATTCATATTTTTTGTCCTTGTGGGTCTTCTGATTTAGAAACCGAAACTATCATGACTACCTACTAAATGTTATCATTTTTATTTTGTTGTAGCTTCATACATATCACTGACATCAACGATAATTCGTGACTGTGGTATTGTATCATTTCAAAGCATATCGGGCAGTAGTAGCTTAGAATCTATGTTCCTTGCACCTGAATTACAAGACCAAGGAATTCTTAATGAAAAGGTAAGTGTTTTGATTTGCCGACAATATTGCCCAGTGATAAAGCCACATATCAAATCAACTATACAGCTTTATATCTTGGGACAAAATAAAATACATGTAGTTTCTAAAAGGCCTTCCTATTTATAAAATCAGTGAATGCATGCTAGTTTTAAGAAAGAGTGATTTATAGATTTTCTTTGGCTGTTTATATTCTTTCTCTGTCTGTAATAAAAATGTAGATATCGTGCTTCAAAATGAGAAAAATGAATATTATCTACAGTATAATTCACAATAATGTTTGTAACACAATACAATTTGATGAAATGTATAGTCTGTAATTGTTTCCTGCTGGATAAACATTTTCTTTTGTTTACCACTAGAGGGCATACTTTTGTACTGTGAAGATTGTGATGTATTTTTTTTTCTTCTGTTTTTTAAACAGAGTTGCTTATTTGGTGTAGCAGCTATGTTGTGGGCAGCAGCAGATTGGAATCTTCCCGCAACAGAACAACCTGACATTTCTGAGGAGTTGGAGAGCTTGTTTGTTAGAATGACTCAGGATGATCCGGATGATAGGCCAGATATTGACTATGTTCTTAAAGTATGTGATGAACATGAAGACGAAACTGGAGTTCAGTCTTTAGAAGTTTGTCTTGAGCTATGGAAAGAAACCATTCATTTACAGACATGTGGCCCATCATTGGAATTTCCTGAAAAATCACTACCAAGATTCCTTCCATCTAATATGTCTGAAATGTCATTGGAAAGTAATTCATCATCTTTTGTGGCGATCAATGTTGAAAAACCAGAACCAAAAAGAAGGACCCCAGAAACGTTTGTTAATTATGTGTCACCTCTGAAGCCAGGACAGGGGTATCAGAATCTGGGATCTCCAGAAAGACCCTCAGCATTTAAAAGTCCTCTATTACCGAGAAAAGGATTTGTGGAGGTGAAAGATTCTTCTTTTATGAGGATTGACAGTGCCACTGATAGTAGTGTTTCACCATCCAGCAGTAAAGGAACACTGTCACCCATGCAAGGACCAATTCCTAGTAAACGAAACAATAATGTTGGTGAGAATGTTGATGATGATAAAAAGATCAATAGCATTGTTGATTTCACCAACTCACAGAGTCTAATTTTAAATCGTAGGACTAGATTGCCTGAATTTAATGTTCCCAATGCATTCTCATCACAGAACACGCATTTTGCTCCTATTATTTTACATGAGGAGAATAGCAACACTGCAGCAGAAACAGAATTGAGTAGACGCAAAGTATCTAATTCACCAGATAAGTTTAAACAAAAAATGGTGAAAGCCATGAGAATGGAATTAATTCGGTCCAGACCACCTGCCAGCCTGGTGTCTGACCTAGAGAAAGATGCTGCAGATCACAGTAGAGAGAAGGGGTCCAAAGACCGGTCAGGGAAAAAGAAGTCAAGATCAAGATCACAGTCTCCTAAGCACCATTCCAAGTCTGGGGTCAGGGATTCATCACATGATAGGAATGGCAGGAAAGAAAGAAGTAAACGGAAAAAGGATGATAGCGGAAAACACAGGGAAAAGCGAGAACACAAGAAAGCTGAGAAGATTCCTGAAAATGATAATGCTGAACACTCAACATTGTCAAATGTAGCTGAGAGTGGTCATACTGATCCACCACCACTCCAGAATGAATGCCAGGCAACAATTCAAAAGACAATAACAAATCCACAACACGACCTGCCAACTCAAACAGTACAACCTGGTGAGAACCTTCCAAAGCAGGTACCACAGATTGCAACTATCCCTCCACAAGTAGTACCTCAACATAGTCCTAATTTCCAACAGAGCAGTCCAGCACAAATTCCTGGACAGATGACAAATAGCCCTGCACAAAATACGCCTCAGTATCCTATGCCTGGAATGTTTCAAAATTTTCCTTTTCAAGTGACGCTACAGCAGGATCCAATCAGCGGTCTCTTCCACATTGTGCCAGTGGGGATACCCTTTCCAGGATTTCAACCAAACCCAAACCAGCAGTACCCTGGAATGCAACAGATTGCTGGCATGCAGCCATTTCAGCCTACTGGCTTACAATTCAACCCAATGCTTGGACAATTTGCTGTGTCTAGTAGTGTTAGTAGTCCAACTGACAGTCAGGGTAGTCAGAGACTTAAAAATTTACAACAAAACACTGTCGGGCAAACAAGTAAAAGTCATGCTAACACTAGCAAGTTGACACCAACATCAGACACGGATTCAGACAATGAACTAAAGAGCAGTGGAAAATTTGACATGAAAAATCAGGAATATAGCAGAAAGAAAAAAGACAGAACGCAGACTAAGAAACAACATCGAAAAACTAAATCTACAGGACATATTGCTAGTGATTCAGAGAGCAGTGAACCAAGTCCACGCCAAAAACATGACAAGTTAAGACATGATGAGAAGGAGTTATCAATATCAGATAAAGACAGTCCTCGTTCAGAGAAATCTGGAGATAAGGAGAGAACACGGAAAAGAGTTGAACACAGAACACACAGATTACACAGCAGAAGGGATATCCTTGAGGAATTGGATGATACCAAACCACTTGAAAGCACTAAAGCTGAACCCATCTCACCATCATCACCAACATCCATGTCGTCTCTTTCCAGAGACAGTGGAGTACACATGCAAGCCAGTCTGTCCAGTGCTGAGGAGATTACTTCTGTTAATGACCAGCATCTAATGGATGTTTTATCCAGTAATTCTGTTCTGAAAAAAGTGATCAAACGTATCAGGGAAGCCTTTGCATTTGATGGATACTTGGAAAATGGAGTTGAAGATTTGGCTATGGGTGAGTTTACTGCTTTATTATTGTCAGCAGATTAACAGAGTTCTTCCACATTATTTTAGCCAATAGCAGCTGGCTTTGGGAGTCGTTGTGTTTGGTCACACAGTTAGTGTTAACTGTTGAATTAATTCTACATTCTTAGAAAAGAAATTGTATAGTGTAGTCAACCAAGCCATGCAGGTTATGAATATTATTGTTGGTTTCAGATTAATACAATAAATAAATCTTGGTGAAATAGGAAAGTCTGCACATTTACCAAAAATTATATTTGTTGTATGCTAGACCATTGAAATTTATTTGACCATAGACTCACCTCTGTCATTTACATAAGTTTATGCACTTCTTTTTAAAGCAAACAATTCTTCCAAAAAAGTACTAATCAGGAGATGAGATTCAGATTTCATCTTGCTAATTGAAATCTAACTCTAACCCTAAACCATTTTATTTGCATTTTGTGTTACTTGTAACAGTAGAAATAATGTGGAAAACATGACTACATTGGTTTTCATTCTGGTGATCAACATTCTTTAAAAAAGACTGTAAAATGATTTATTTCAGCTGGAATTAATTTTCACTGAAAAATTAATTGCATGATGTTTGTTTTCACTGATTTTTGATGAGTTAAATGTGAACTTCTTGTATATAAAAAAAAAGATATTTTTGGAGGATTTGATTTTCATTGATTCATTATAAATAAAGTAAGTTACATTATACATTATGTTCTTATGATTCACATAATCCACAATGTGATAGGAGAAAGTGACAAGTATTGTTGTTTTGTTGACAGCTGAGTATATAACATCTTTAGCCAACTTAAAGTGGACCACATTCAGCAGTGCTGTCAGTGAAAAATTCTGTGATTTGTATTGGGAGGATGAGTTGTTGGAGAAACTCTATGAAGCTGTCAATCAACGAAGACCAATCAGGATTCCTAAAAGGTAATATGTTGGTCATCGCATATAGCCCCCTCTGGTGCAATCTGATTTAAATAATTTCCTAGTGTTTTCTTTTCACTTTTATTTTTCTTATTTTATTTTTTTCTTATTTTTGTTTTTATTTTATTTTTTTAAAGTTTTGGTAATTGCGAATGCCAAACAAGGATCTGACCCAATTCCTATATAAATTTTATTCCTATAAGCTACAGTCAATCACAGCTAGCCTTTTATGTTGGCCGGTGGCGTACTCATTAGAGAAAATAATTAACAAACAATTCCAATGTAGAAGAAAAAAAGTAGTGTTGCGTCGCATGGGTTTAATTTTGAAGACAATTATCTCAATCAAAGGTTGGCCAGGGAAAATGCCCGGAAACGGTGGTTAGATACTCCGGTAAATTTTTCAATTTCCTTTGATGGCTAAAAAAACTTGTTCTGTCATGTAAAGTGAGGGAAAATTAATTTAATTTTTCCTTTTATTGACGTGTTCTTGACCATATTTTCTTGTAAGTTGCACAAAACACGGCCAGACATGTACCATCTTGATCGTCATTGCTCCGGCAATCTAAATGTGCAGCTGACTGCCGATCGCGAAGCCCTGTCCAGCAGGAATTATTGTTGAGGGGATGGTGGAGGTGCAGCTGCTACGATTGACACAAAAATACAACTGCAAATTTTAAATTCCTGCAGCATAAAGAATTTATTTGAACTATTGCGTACTTGATTTGCAGTAACATTAAATTGACTTCAGTATTATTACTGCCACTCGCACCTCAAATTGTTAAAATGTGAGAAGCGCATACTTTTCGCACTTTGGCAAGACTTCATGTTCTCATCCATGCATTTTCTTGCAAATTTTTATTGCCCTTTGATAATTCTCACAAATTATCAGTGAGAATTTGGATTCTCGTCAGTGAACTGTTTTATTTCAAATTCCACACAACCACTAAGTCGATAAATATTAGTGGCAAGGATAATATCAAGTATCGAAGAGGTGCCAGAAGGTGTTTGCAATTCATACTTTTCAGTGTAGCAAATACTCTACGGGCAATCTTCTTGTATATTAAATTTTGCTAACCAATTCATGTACAGCTCAATAAATTAACTTCCATAAATTATTAATAGAAAATTACAAGGATATTTTTTATTTACAAAAGAGATTCCACATCATTTTACAATTTTTGTCATTACATTGAATATTTTTTTTTCATTTTCAACAAATGTGTACTTTCCTGATGCAAAACAAAAAAATAAGTAAATCATAATGATTAAAACACTATAAACAGCTATAGTAAACAATGCAAACTGAATTTAATTTGTATAACTGTCACCGGCACTAGGCGTCCACGCAGAATATTCCTGATCGATTACGATGTGTTCTGAATAAAAACTATTTTATTCTAGTCCAAATCAGCCTAATTACTTTAAAGGAAACATCAATCCAAACAATATAATGAACTATAAAGAAAAAAGCTCCACAAATGTAGGAGAATGCAATTTACAGTTTTTTTATATCACTTTTCATTCTCTAGATATTAAATTTTTCATCAGTAATATGTATGTAGTCAGCCATCTTGTCAGCCATATGTAGTCAGTCGGCCATTAAACTGTGGAAAATTATTTCCAGTTTTGACAAATACCGGATCAACAGTCATACAAATTCACACAAAAAAATTTACGAAAGTTCATAGTTGTTTTAAAAAAACTTCCCAGATCTCTATTTGTATGTTCGTATAAATCTCTACAACTTCATCCTGAAGTTCGTCGATGTCATCCCACACAATTTGGACTTAGCATGACTGCTACAATGGCACACAATGCACACAGTCTGTCAATCATCTTTGACCTTTAAGCATCTGCTTTACTGATTGGCTAAGAATGACATAACTACTAGTGTTTCATCATAGAGGTCAGGTCAACATTGCTTTCTTATCACACGAGTAGCTCATCAATCTCGGTGAAAGTTATAATTCAGCAAGTTCCAGTGAGTTGAATGTCTCACTATATGGATATCGCGGTGGGTTTGAGATAGGAAGAATTTTTATTCTCCAATGACAGAAGAATAGTTATCATGACAGAAATGCAATAGCTGTGATGTAAGATGGTAAAAAAGTTTGCAGTCTTCATCGTGACATTTCAAAATTGCTGGCCTCAGTTATGGATTCGCAAGCTGCTACCAAGTATTTCATAAAGCTAAAATAACTGGATTTCAACCACTCTCTCGGATACGGGTTTCTAGAATATTGCAACATTGGTTTCATTGTCAAACGCGTACGACACTTGCTTCGCAGCTCTCCATATACTGTAAGATTTGCTTGAATCGTTTCTAAGTAAGCACAAACCAAAAGGCCCTTTTCAGGGCCATGACATATACATTTTTGAAGACTTTTGACTGATAACAAATCTTTAAAAATAAATGTAAATTGCGTATTAAACAGCGTGAACGTGCTGCCCTGAAGGCAGAACGTGAAATTACCTATTTTGCTGTCATAACTATTTTGTGCTTACCCATTATTTTATGCAATCGATATTTATTTTTCAAGGATTTTTATCAGAATCACAACAGACTGCAAAGAAGTCAACTGTTAATACAACGACCAAAAAATATAATATAATAATTTTTAATTATAAGTGTAGAAAAGACCCCCTGGGCGTATTTCTGCATTGTATCAAAATTGGGGGGGGGGGACGGGCGTTTGTCCTTTCACACAATACACATGATCTCACAGTTCAACAGAAAAACACCTATTACAGAAATTTATATAGTGCATTGCAGAAGAAAAAGCTTACTTAAAATCGACGAGTCATTTATAGAAATCAATTTTAAATTGTTAATTATCTTGTTCAGTGTTACTAAAATATAGTAAAAAACTTTGAAATAATGCATATGATATATTGGTTTCAGTGCAAATATTGCATATTGCTTACTGTGTTACAATTAGATACTGTACATGTATCTTAGTTATCAACCCAAGGAGGTAATATAGACTATACATGTATCATCACATTCACTTTGTAAAGAAAGACATGCATGGCTGGGTTTCTGCATTCATTTCAACTGATTGGTGTCTTTAAAGATGTCTCTTTATTTTTGATAGCTATAGAGCTTTCTATTTGATGACTTTTGTCACCCATAGGCTACAAGCAACCTCCAAGGTTACCCCTGAGTAATTTCAATTTCTCATCTCATTTGGAATGCGTGTCATTCTTTTGTTCATACACTACTTTCAAATTTTCACATTTCAGAGCTGTAGCCGTATTTCACTGTTTTCACACTAATTTGGATAACTCTACTGTATACCCAGGGTTTGACTCCCTCTCCTTCTTGGCTCATGTCCAGGTAATGGACACTATATTTAGTATATACCGGTACACTGTATAATATTATATTAGAAATGTACAAATATAGAGCACAAGTACATTGTATAAACGTAGCTCTATTGTAATTGTAAAATAGTAGATATATATTTTCATGACTAGTCGCCAACTCTTATTTGAATTAATATAGTCCCAGTTCAAATTGTGTAAGTTAAGGACATGTGGAGTTCATGCCAGCCTGTAGTTTTCAGCTACTGTAAAACACGTTGAAATAGCTACATACCATTTTAGCAAATTTGGCTCAAAGTTCAAAATAAACATAATTGTAATTTGTCAAAACAAATTGCATTGTAAGAATATACTACTTTTATTTTAGTTTGAATTAGCAAAATTACAGACTAGCTAAATTAGCTAAAATAACATGCTAGATAAAAAGACACAGACTTTTAAACATGGTAGTATTACCATACTGGGCCAGCTAGTACTATGCTTGAACTTTCAAGATAACAATAGAGACTATAGATATATTAATTATTTCTATTGTAATCATATACATATGCAAATTAACCACATGTCTTGGCATATTCCAAGAAGAATCATATTAAGTCACTCAGTTTAAATCTTGCTTGGAAGTATGCCAATTTATTTGGGATATAGAACTGAGATTATTTGAAAACTGCTTCTTTGGCTGCTCTGCAATGATTCATAATCTTAAAATATGAAGTGTTGTATATTTACCTCAAAAGTTATTTAATCTATGAACAGAAACAATCACATGAGAGTCTTAAAAACTATCATTCACTAAAGGTAAGATTATTACACAGTAGAGCCACTATAACACTATTATGAAGTGGGTGTTTTCATCGCTGTATTGTTGTAAGCCCTTTGAGAAAAAACACTGGCAGCTCCACCATTCACTAGCAACAGTCATGGTGCTATGCCGTTTAACAATGAGAAAACAACTACTCTTTCTTCAGCTTATTTTTGTGACAAAGGTTTTTATTGGCCTAGGATCATTTCAATTACACCAATCATTCAATTGTTCACTTCAAGAGCTATGCATGCTTACAACTTGATGCCTCATTTTGTATTCCCATAGGCCACACAGTCCAAGACCAACAACGCTGACCAAAACAGTTACAGAACATATATCTGACAACACTGCCTCAGTCACAGCCACTTCTTCACCAAGAGATGTCAACAAAGATGAAGATGCCGATGATGATGATGATGATGTAGATTTTGATACTGATTCAAATGATGGTGATATAGATGATCTTTTGTGTGGGTGCGATTATGAACCTTCAGTGTCGCCAACACCGTCGACTTGTAGTGCTGTTATGAAATCTAAAGTTGTAGCTGATGCCAAGTTGTTTTCACGTGAGAGAGAACGAAGGTTAAGTGAAAAAGCTAAAGTTCCTGTTGCTAAGGAAACAGAGGAGGATAATCAGGATAGCGGTGATGATGTTGTGAAATCTAGCAGTGCCATAGAAAACTTATCAGACTTGATCAAGAGCCTGTCAACTGAGAGTGATGGTAAAAGTGAGCCGAGTTCACAGGAATCATCACCTAGAGATGCTCCACAAAATAGAAAATCGGAGAATCCTCCACTGACACGACAACGTGTTGTTGACTCTGACATCAACTATGCTGAACAGGCATTGAACGATAGTATGAAATCTGATGATTTGAACAAATCCACCATTAGTCTCAATAGTACTAGCTCCGGACCCAGGTTTATCCGGGTCAGGAGTGTTTCCGATCACTCTGATGGATCTGATCTGGAAGAACCAAATGTTCCAGAGGTTAGTGAGCGGCGATTCCGAAAATCACCTCTTGCAAATCCTACTACCATCCGCCGTAGCAGCTCCTGTGGTGATTCGGACTCTAGTACAGGATCTAAGAAAGGAAGAATTCGACGAGCTTTTTCTCGGACTATATCTCGACATAACAGTGCTGCTAGTAGTAGTGCATCATCTGGGATGTCCAGACCAGGAAGCCGTGGAGCTGCCAATGCGGATGAGTCTAGTTCCTCTCTGCCAAGCTCTAGCATAGACAGGGCAATAGAAATGGCTAAATCAAGGCCTAATAGTGCAGTATTCTTTGAAACTGAAGCTGTTGACCCTCTCATAGTGGACTATACTTGTCAGTTAGGAGAATCTGGTGATAAACAACAAAGCATTGAAGCTAAAATTGCTGTGAGTAGAATTTGTATTTTTCATTTTTGTTGGCTTAAAGTACATGTACATATTTTTTGTTTTCACTCATTTTGATGTTAATTATTAGAACAAAATTATGTTTGATATTGCTTGTTTTAGTCACTGGAAACTAAAATTGTGTACTCACGTCTGTTAAAAAGTAAGTCTTTGGGATTGCATAAAATTTATTATAACTAGATAATAAGATTTTGCCTTATCTTTGGCAATACCAGTGAAGGCACAGGCAGTGTCTGTTACTACTTTAATTAGGTGTGAAATAGTTGAACAGTAAACCTGTATAACATTATACATGTAGATGTCTGCAGGCAAATTTGTAGTCCAGGTGTTAATCGTGAAGTCTCTAGAGAACAATGGTAACAAGAAAGCTGCAAAAAATAGAGCATAGTTCTATTAGGACAATAGTGTTTGGTTATAAGAAGTCTTGCATTGCTAGCCCACAACATTCCATTGTAACCTAAACTTTGTGTGACATGTAATGAAAGGCCTGTGGGTTTGTAACAGTATCAGATAGCTCTAAATATATACAGTTAACATACTGTAAAATTCAGTGAATATAGTTTCCAGCGAATACGCTTTTTTCCCTATATTTCACATTCAACTCATCACAGCAAGCTAGTTGGTTCTCATTGATATCTGAAACAAAGACTTTAATAATATGGTTTGTGTACTATTCAATTACATTTCTTATGCATGCCTGGACTGATTACGTTCAAACAAAACAAGATATAATTCATTTTGGTGACCTGACAGTCGACATGTCTTAAACTGTGTCATTTGTTTCTAGTTTGTTCTACCCATTCTCAAATTACAGTTTAATAAAGGCAACACATGTTGCTTCACACATCTTCTTCAATTATTTAGGAGGTTTTGATGGAATTTAACAGGCTAGGGAACATTTTGTCTTCAACATTATTTCTCAAACTTGCCTGGGCCAATTTTATTGATATAATGGTATACATTTGTAATTGTATACACGTGGACGCAGTCCGAAAACAGGGACTTATGTTTTGACCTCTGTGTCCGTGCGTGCGTCCATCCCTGTATCTTAGAAATGCCTAGACCAATCACAATCAAACTTCACACATACATCATACATGATATTATACATATGCACATCAATTCGTTTCACGATCTGATTCAGGATGGCCAAATGGCGGCCATTTTTGTTTTAAAAATCATCAAAATCAAGCATTTCTCGGCTGTTTACAGATGGATTTTGTCCAAACTTGGTATATACGTTGGACATTATAGGACCTTGATGCACATCATTTTGTTTTCAGATAAGAATCAAAATGGCCGACTGGTGGCCATTTGGTTTAATAAATGTGGTTCTAGTGCCATATCTCTGACTTGCTGTGACTGATTATGTTCAAATTTTAATTGTCATAGATATACTGATATATTGGTTTGACGATCCTATTAAAAATGACCAAATGGTGACCATTTTTAGCTCCGCTGTCGACTTTGTCGAGCGGAGCTTATCATATGAGTGATTGTCCGTCGTCGTCGTCCGTCGTCGTCGTCCGTCGTCCGTGTCAATGTTTTACTTTTTCGACTTCTTCTTGAAAACTACAAGCCTGAATGCTTTGATACTTGGTGTATATGTACCTTGGGTAGACCTCTCTCAGATTTGTTCATTTCATGATGATATCTTCAATTCTCTAATTTTGGTGAATATTTTTGTGATTTTTAGTAAAAAGTGATATTTTCGACTTCTTGTTGAAAACCGCAAGTGCAATTGCTTTGATATTACATATATAGGTACTACATTTGGACCTCTCTCAGATTTGTTCATTTTGTAATGATATCTTTAATTCTCTAATTTTGGTGAATATTTTTGTCATTTTTGGTAAAAAGTGATATTTTCGACTTCTGTTGAAAACCGCAAGTCCAATTGCTTTGATATTACATATATAGGTACTACATGTGGACCTCTCTCAGATTTGTTCATTTTGTAATGATATCTTTAATTCTCTAATTTCGGTGAATATTTTTGTAATTTTTGGTAAAAAGTGATATTTTCGACTTCTTGTTGAAAACCGCAAGTCCAATTGCTTTGATATTACATATATAGGTACTACATGTGGACCTCTCTCAGATTTGTTAGTCCCCGTTCGAACGCAGTCCGAAAACGGGGACTTATGTTTTGCCCTGTGTGCGTCCGTGATCACCTGTATCTCGAACATGCATGGACCGATTAAGTTCAAACTTCACTCATACATCACACATTATATGGGACATATGCACATGCATTTTTTTCATGATCCGATTAACGATAGCCGAATAGCGGCCATTTTAAGGCCGAAAATGCATCAAAATCGCACATTTTCACCATTCCGGACCCGGATCTCAGTTATGCATGGACGTATTTTGTTCAAATTTGGTACATACATTAAACATAATAGGACCTTGATGCACGTCATTTTTTTTTTTGGATCGGGTTCGAAATGGCCGACTGGCGGCCATTTTGTTTTAAAGAATTCAGTTCTGGATCCGTATCTGAGACATGCTTGGATTGATCGAGTTCAAACTTCACACACACAAGATACATCATGTCACAAATATGTATGTGCATTTGTTTCATGATCTCATTAACGATAGCCAAATGGCAGCCGCTTTAAGGCCGAAAATGCATTGAAATCGCACATTTTCACCATTCCGGACCCGGATCTCAGTTATGCATGGACGGATTTCATTCAAATTTGGTACATACATTAAACATAATAGGACCTTGATGCATGTCATTTTTTTTTTCGGATCAAGTTCGAAATAGCCGAC